ATCTTCTGACGAAAAGTGCAGACTATAAACAGGACTATTTTGTGAATTTGTGATAAAAAAGCGGAACTGGTAGAAAAAAGGTTAACCATTATATACAGAGAAAATGTTGAAAAAAAATAAAATTACAGAAAGAAAATTACTTTATTATAAGTGTGTTTCAGATAGAACCACATATACAAATAACACACAGCTGATTGGTTGAATTCCATGTATGTTAATTTGCATAATACATAATACCATTTTCAGGTGTTCTAATGACATCTAAAGAGCCACTCAACAGATTTCAATAAAAATCAATGCTCTGGAATATTCCACATTCATAATTGCATATTAATTATCTGATTCACATAAATTAGCCAATTTTTAGCTATTCTCCACATAACGTAGGTGACAGTCCTCTGATTGTTTATTTTGTGATGATAAATTCAATTCTCTAATTTTAGCAAATAATTTTGGTAAAAAAAATGTTTATGACTATTTTGTGAACCACAAGCGCAATTGATTTGATATATTTCATATTGATTTGATTCATTCCTCTATCATATTAATTCAATTAGTGGTGATAAGTTCAATTTCTTAATTTTAGTAGATATTCTTGTTATCTTGAAAATGACTAGCTTGGTCGAAGTCTATGCATAATAATTGATTAATTTGCATAATAATTACCAAATCCTAAAGACCCAATTAATTTTAGATTGAAATTCGTGCATACTAATTGCTTAATTTGCATAATGTGCATAATCATCACATTTCATGGAAATTTGGTTCATAGATTCTCTGGGGTAATCTACAGACATGAATAGTTTAATGTGGAAAAACCTGCATATTGATTATCTAATTATTATTAGCCAATTCCTGATATCTCAAAAAGTCAGATTTAAATTGAACTTGTGGTAGAGGTGCTCTGGAATAAATTTTGTTTTCGTTTTAAATCAAATTCTGTTTTTTCTGTAAGTATTATAAACTTCAATAATGTGGATCATATTGTTTTCATGTTGTGCATCTCAAATAGCAGACACAAATTAGTTGCCAAGCTTGAAAGGCTAATCTTAAATTTTGAATTAATTTTTAATATGTCTCCAATACTCTAAGCACACAGGAGTTCTTTCCAAGTTTTATTTGATCTACCCTTGACATGTGAATCTATTTCTTTGTAATGGATTGCAATTTGCAACTAATTATTTTCAGTTAACAAATACTTTGATGCAGTTATTGCTAAAATCCACTACAGCAATTCTACCATCATTACACACTGCTACACCTAATGGGTGTCTCAGTCCATCCTTGTCACTATCAATCCTGCAAATAAACTGACCATTGCTGTCATGCTTGGTGACTTTATGCTCACTGCCTACATATACATAATCATTCTCATCTACAGCCACTGCCCTGGAACAACTCATTGTACTGTCACCAGTGGAAGAGAATTCAAACAAAAACTGGTCATCAGAATTGAATACTTGAATACAGTCGTTGTTATAGTCTGGCACATATACCATCCCGTTACTGTTCATAGCTAACATGCAAGGCCCATTGAATTCTCCCCGCCTGCTTCCATTCCTCCCAAATGACTTAATATACACACCATCCTGGGTATACTTTCTAATACAATCCGTAGAAAACTCACTTACATACACATTCTTAGTAACAGAATTAATTGCAATTCCACGTGGATTATCAATTTCAGAGCTTCCAAACTTTCTAATCAATTTTCCATTTTCATCACTCACAACTACTTGTTTGTTATTTTCATCTGTCATAAAGTATTCATTATTATCTGATATTGTTACATCACGTGGTGTGAATGGCTTTGCAAACTGACCAGTAAATGTAAATGATTGTTTAAATTTTCCATCTATATCATGTATGACCACTCTGTTGTTCTCTCTATCAGCTGTTACAAAGTCACCGTGTTTATTTATGGTCAGTCCGAAAGGACTGTTGAGCTGTCCTTTTCCCACTGTTTGTACTAATCCTCTGATATAAACCGGAATATGGAATGGTGATCCTGGTAAATGCTGGTTACCAATCGTCATGGCAATTTGCTGTTTCCCTTCCATCTTTCCAGTTATCTTCACATGAAAAGTCCCATCATTATTGTCTGTAACATCAATGTCTTCCCATGATGCATCAGGCTTTCTTGTCTTCACTCTTGTCTTGACATCATGATGGACAATGGCCTGCTTTCCTTTTGAATCTCTGGTTGTGATGAGCAGGTTGACAGATTCACCTCTCACAAGTAGTTTTGGGATGTTTTCAACTGTGCATTTGGATAGACATACATGTATATCAGATGTGATCACCCCAACCAGTGTACCAAGGTCACTTGTTGGCTGGAACTTTATGATGTCATGACTGATTGGTGATATTTTTTTCATAGAAACCATCTCGTTTATGCGCTTCATAGTTTCAAGCCTGGTAGATAGTAGGTGAACTGCATTCCCATGATGCACCAGTGCTTCTAGATAATGATGTGTACTAACTATGTTTCCATGGTGAAATTCCCTCTCATCAATGTTCATTGTTGCATCTTTTAATGCCATTGTGGCACTTTCGTCCAAGGAATCTATCAGCATCTTCTCTTCTCTCTTTACTCTCTCTATCACTTCCTTTGCTCTTTTCTTAACTTTCGATTTCTCTACCTCACACTGGTTTTGGATTTCTTCCCTTTTAGATTCAGCTGCTACTTTTTCTTTCTTTATTTGCTTCTCTTTCACTTTCAACTTTCCTAGCATTTCCCTCAGTTGTGTTTTATACTCATCTGCTACCTCTTGTAAGTCTCTATGTACGTGTTCAGGAACTCTGTGTTTAACTATGGTGCACTCAACACATACAGGCACCTGACATGTGTCACAGTAGAATTTCAGCTGGCTGTCTTTATGAACACTGCAGAAAACTTTGGACTGTACCATGAGTTGACCTGTAGATTGTATCTCTCTGTATTTGTCAATTGTCAGTACTTCATGAGAACGGAGAGCTGGGGTGTATCTATGAGCTTTAACACATACATCACAAGTAAACTGAGGGCAGTCTACACACCTGTGAGTTGCTGTCTTCTCTTGGCATACCTCACACACAGGTGGGTGGTCAGTTTTCAGCTGCCTCTGTCTTTGGAATGTGTCCAGTAGGCTTGTTAAAAAGATATTTGACTTTAGTTTCTGGATGGGTGTGTCACACTGAATTCTACATGTTGCACACTTCAAAACACCTCCAGATTTAGCCTTGAAACTTTCCAAACATTGCTGACAAAATGTATGAAGACAAGGTAGAACTTTAGGATTTTTATAGTTCTCCAAACAGATGGAACAGCTAAGGAAATCCTCAGTCACTTCCTCCATGAGGAACTTGTTGGATGCAGCCATAGCCATGGTGGCGGAAAGTTTCTAATAATGGTTGAGTCATTTTAATTGTGCTCCCTAGGAAAGTTGAAATTCACAATATGTATTTCCTTATTATTGCTATTTACAATGGCAAATTGGTTTTACTGCTTTTCAAATCATTGTCAGCCTAAAGGGCCTATTGTAGACAGACACACACAGTGTAGTTATTAACTCTTGGATTCATGCCAAACACTAGGTATGACTTTGTTAATGCTGACCTTTGACCTGGTCTGACCTACTTTTAAAGGTGGATATGGCTGACACATGTTTGGCATGTTTGGCACATGTTTGACACAGAGAAGAAAGAAAGTTATTCTTTGTGGATGGCTAAATATAAAAATAAACTTGGGTATATTAACAAGTTTTAAAACTAGGAATTTCAGTCGTATTTTTATTAAATTTCTAGTTAAAATGGCAGCCAAAGTAAGGATTGAACACTTACTTTGTTTTTAGCTTGTTCTCAAAAAATTTGAGCTGAGCTACTCATATTACTGTTTGTGTGCTGTCATCTTCGTCAATTTCACATTTTCAACTACTTTTGTAGAATTGGCTATGTGTACTGTTGAGTGAATGCCGACAAAACCAACAACAAAAACACATACATTAAAAAAAGCGTGCTTGTTGTTCAAGCGGTGTAATGATGCTTTAAGTTGAAGTAGTCTCATTTCCTGGTGATACTTATAATGAATTCTCTAATTTTAGTAAATATTTTTTGTCATTTTTGAATTCTTCTTGAAAACTGCTTACCCGATTGCTTTGATATTTTGTATGGAGGTACCTTGAACGAAACTCTGATTTGTTTATTGTTTTTTTGATATTTTATATACCGGTATACGTTATTCTTTGAGATTTATTCCATTTTGTGATCATATCTTCAATCCAACTTCTATATTGTTTATTAAATTGCTTTCAGACTTTTCATCACATCTCAAACAGCTGAGCTTGATCCCACTGTTTTTCAGATTTTTGTATACGTATATTTTATTCCAGTCATCCTTGTACTGGTTTCAATCCTTGGATCTGTCTCATCATTTTCTCTTACATTTTATTTATGTAATTCTTTGCAGCATGTCATGCTGATGTTGTTAAATTGGTCCAACTTGCTGTTAAACATGATGTAGTAATCATTCCATTTGGTGGTGAGTATCTAATACACTGCTCAATGTTATAATCTATAGTTTTTGTATTTTTTGTGATTGTAATATATGTAATTTATTTCAATTCATTTAGAATAGGTCATTATTATGTTGTATGTTTCAGGTGGTAGCAGTGTAACTTGATCATTATTTGTGTTGTATGTTTTGGGGGGTACAAGTGTAACTGGGTCATTATTATATAGGTATGTTTCAGGGGGTACCAGAGTAACTGGGTCATTATTGTGTTGTATGTTTCAGGTAGTACCAGTGTAACTAGGTCATTATTGTGTTGTATGTTTCAGATAGTAACTGGGTCATTATTGTGTTGTATGTTTCAGGTAGTACCAGTATAACTGGGTCATTATTGTGTTGTATGTTTCAGGTGGAACCAGTGTAACAGGGTCATTATTGTGCCCTACGCATGAAACCAGAATGATAGTATCATTGGACACATCTCAAATGGTAAGTTTAGAAAATATGCATAATAATCACCTAATTTGCATTAATTAAAAAACATCTATCTGATATATCCAGAACCACTTATCAGATTTTAAATGAAACTTAATAGATAAGTTGTCTGCAATACACACATTTGATTGCAATCCTTGCATATTAATTAACCAATTATTATAAATTAAAAATTTTAAGCCTTTCCACAGGTAACACCACTAATAAGATTTTAACGAAACTTACGTGAGTGTTCTGGCGATAGTTCACAAAGTGATTAGTTTTAAACTGGGCAGATATGTGTGCTAGGGTACAAACCACATATATACAATTAAATTTAATCATATTGTTTTTAACATTTATAATTTTTGTATAATTATGAACTTCAATACTGTTGATCAGATTGAAATTCTTTAATTAATTAAAAACCAGTGAATAATTAACACTTTTATAGTATAATTGTTTTCTATGTTTTCTTGAATATACTCCTTGTATCTTTGAATTGGTCTGTATCATATAATATATCAGGATTTATGTATTTTATTCTATACCGGTAATCATGATTTTGTGTTTAGCTAGTTGCATTATTGAATCACTTGGTTACAGAATGTATCTGAGCTGGCATTTTAATTTCAAATGAACTTTGTTTTAAATTATGCCCTCCGGGGCTGGGTCAGGGTTATTGGGGAGGGGGCTGTGATATCCTTATTGGACTGATTACACTTAACAACATTGGTAAAAAAACAAAACAATAATAAATATGTAACACACACCCATCAAACTTACTCACCTAGCTGTAATCAAATATGTATTGAATGATTTTTTATTTTATTTTTAGAATAAGATTCTGTGGATTGATGAAGAAAATTTGACTGCACATATCCAGGCTGGTATATTTGGACAAGACATGGAAGAACAGGTAATGCAACAAACCAATGAGAGTTGATGTCGTAATGATGGGAGTTTATGCAATGATAACCCAATTTTGTTCAAGAAAAATTTGTGAATACCTGGGGAGAATCTTAGACACAGTGAGCTTAAAATATTGTATTTTCTCAATTAGTAGTGCATATGCTTACTTCAATCACAGAAATATGTTTATAGTCAAAATGCCGTATCTTAGTGATTAAGTAATCATCATACACAACTATTGGACATGTGCTTGTAATAGACCAAATATGGTATTGTAACTTCTTTTCAGGCCATGTCTGAAACACTGCTGTGTAGTGAAATTTACTTGATATGTGGCACAATGGTTAATGTGTCTACTTAGAATCAGAGAGATTGGGGGTTTTACATTCATGATCAACTTCCCACTCACTCATGCAATCACTGCCCATTATGTCTCCTGCCATGTAGGGCAGCAACAAAATCTCTCCACTCTTGTCTATCTTAGGCCATTCT